TGGCAATATATGGTAAATCTGTCATGCCTGTATGTAGAATTTCTCTGGCTCAAATTTCTACATTTATTGGGTGCATTATGAAGTTTCCTGACTGATTAATGAGGTTACTTGCAGAAATATCTTGCTTACACACATTTTGTGATATTTTTACTACTTTATACATATGATTATTCACATCTCATCAGTGGTGTGTGAAAGGTACTTGGTATTTGCATTTTAAAATTGTAGATCTGTGTACCAGCAGGGTTATATTTCATATATCTGCGAATGTTTCTAAAAATAAGCTTCATGTTTGATAATTAATTGGTTTGAAATAAATAAATAAATAACCCAAATAAAATCAATTCATTTTATATTTCACATAATTTGTTTTTATTATTCTTCTAAGCATTTAATCATTATACTGTTATTGTGTAATAACATTGAAAGTTTCCAAGTTTTTATTAACAGGTTGATGCTAACTTATTACAAATGAACATAAGCATTAAAGCATATTTCCTTACTCAAATGTATCAAACGTACCACTGGCATAATAGCGGTAAAGATACAGGTAAAGATGACAGCATTGATAACTGAGTTTACAGCGCTTTTAGTGCAGCTTGGCTAGTGTCAGATTGTTATCTGATAAAGTTTGCTACTAGTACCTGGGAAGAAAAGGTCTGGCACTTGGCAATCAAGTTGATAAAATCACAAAACGCCTGTAGAAAATAGAGCATACCTGCCCAACATCGATTTGTTCAGATTCTTGACTAAGGGGTGCGTTACTGCATGGTGTCAAGGGCCAAGACTTGAACTTAGGGGTTTGGCATGTCACTGGACATTCCTCTCGATTTCTGCCCAAATCTAATAAAGCCTCAGTTGCTTAACTTTCGCCAAATTTCCAATATCTACAGGTTGTGTTGTTTAATGCTTGGGGTCTCTTCTTTGGCGGCGGTTAATTGGGGACACCTGTGCGGCCTGTCAACGCACCAAGATTCACTTTTGCCGGTGCCACATTTAAATATCAAATTCATGAATAGAATGAGGAAAAATGACAGTTATGAAAAAATGTTTGGAA